AAGTTTCAAACTTCAGCTTCCAATAGCTATTTTTTATTTGACTAAAGCTAGAACTCAAAAATAATTTTACTTCATTTTTTTTTCCACACAATATTAAATGCATTCTCAAAAGTTTATTTCCATGCTTATTTACTTTTTTTTAACAATCGGATTTCTAAATCAAATAAGGATACTGAAACAGCATATAATGTGATCTTTATCTTCAATCCATTTTTTCTACAGCTCTGATCAGATGAAGTTCAGAAACATATAATAAAAACCTTCCCTTAAGGGTAAAAAAAAGGCGAATTTCCCATTGATGACATCTAACCTTATTATACTCTGAACCTTCATCTGGTACTAGGATTTCCTTATATCGCATTGCTTCGTTCGCGATAGCTTCTCGTTTTGTGGCTTTCAAATATTCCACCATATTATCGTTGAAAGGAAACACCGATGTTGTCGCACCAATTTCTGCACCCATATTGCAAATTGTACTCATACCAGTTGCTGATATTGAATCAACACCAGGACCTAAAGCCATTCGTTTGATTTCATTCAAATTCTGAATGCATAAATTAATGAAATAAATCATTTCTTTGTAGTGCAAAGAATATAAGCTGAAATTAGCTCTTTTATAAATATATTATAATGACAAAAATCATACCGAAGTACTCCACAATACAGCCTGTGCCACCCTTTACAGTAAGTATATCTGCTACCTTCAAGATAACATCCTTGCTGGATGTCCAACCTGAGAGTTCGCCTGTCAATTTGACACCAATCACCTAAAAGCTCGATTTTTTGAAAACTTTAAAATATCAGAAAATTAGCGATCATATATTTACAAAGTTGTAAAAAATATAACTCTTTAACTTCAGAAGAATTAATAGTTACTTGCGGACATTTCAACTCCCAGGGAATATCGGCCATAACATCAACAGCATCAGCACCTCCAACACCAATGCATAAACCTCCCAAACCACCTGAAAATGTGTTTTCATATCTACTTTGGAACTAACAAGTCTTAAAGTGATTAATAATTTATTAATTAAAACCGACCTATTTCTTTCAGGATAAAAAAATGAACAAAAATATTGTGGAGCGACCAGTAATTGGGATCTGATTTCCCGACGAAATTAAAATTAAAAGATAATGTAAACAAGATGGTACAATACGAGCAAAAAATTTATTAACAACTTATTTTAATTACTATCTTCATAGCACTTCTATTATATAAAAAACATTTTTCATATTTTTTTCTTCTTAAAAAAGAAGAGAAATATCGAAAAAAGAGAAATTGGAATTATGACAATTGCAAAAACTGTAAAAACAAAAATAGCCATACCTCCCATTGGTGTGTGACTGTCAGTGCCTATTAGCAACAGTCCGGGGAAAGCATAGTTTTCCAAGATAATCTGATGAATAATGCCACTTCCTGGTTTCCAAAAACCAACACCATACTTATTGCTCGCTGAGGACAAAAAGTCATAAACCTAAAATAAAATGTGATGTGTTAATTCAAGAAAAACATAAACTTTAGCATATAATGTTCCTCTCTTGACAACAATCATTTTTCATAAAAAAGACCTCCTTATTGAGATCATTAGCTCGTTTTAAATCAGGGGTTCCTCCTAACTGTGCTTGAATCAAATGATCACAGTGGATAGTCGATGGTACTGCAACCTGTGGAAGTCCTGAGGAGATAAACTGTAGCATGGCCATCTGTAATTACAACAAATGCAATGATAAACTTCAACTTTGTACACCGAAATATATCATTTTTGTCCAGTCGAATCATTCATTAACATAACACACAGTTTGAGATTTCTGTGATCAAAAAACAAGAACCTGTGCAGTGGCATCCTGCATTGCTACTCGATCTGGCCTCAGTCGCAAATATGAGGAACCTCGTTTAATCTCCTGCTTATCTGGTTCATCCAAGTGTCCATATAATATTTTCTCGGATAATGTAAGTGGTCTTTTTAGTCTAAAATTTATTTATTTTTTCTATAATTTTCTTTTTAGTCTATAATTTTTTTCCTGAAAACATTGAGAATTACTTTCTAAGATTTAAATTTCTTCGCATAACAAAACTTTTACAAAAATCTTCAAAAGAGAAACTGACCTTTGTCGTATAATATTTACATTTCTTTCCAACTTTTCATAAGGTAATAAGGACCCTTCTTCAATATTGTTCATCCGTACTCTTGAACCAAGTTTCGCGTATAAATGTAACAAACATCGTCCATTATGCGCATTTAATATATGAAATTCCACTCCACGCAATATCATTTCCAATCTTAAGAATTAAAATCAAACAACAACAAAATGAAAAAAAAAGCTACCATTTCGATAACAAATTATATACTATAAGAAATGATTAAAATATGAAATTGTAACGGAATAAACGAAAATTTGAATTTTTCATCGGATTTATCGTACCAACTTAAGGACTTGTCCATACAGTGTAAATTGTTCAGTCTTAAAGCTAGAAATTTATCATCTCAATATATCTGCATAGATCTTTCACATCTTTCCAGTAACAATAAAAAAAAAAAAACAAGAATACCAGCAACAGATAGCTCTTCCATCAATCTCAACGGAATACGTACGAGTGAAAACGTACGAGATCACAACGACGAAATTTACCGCTTACCTCACTTTCTTGATCGACAAAACGAAGTAAACAAATTAATGCAGAACACGAGACAAATCAATGAATCGAGAGTATAACTCAATCAATATCTCATATTTCCTATATGAAATGCACGAAATCAAGCAAAACAGCTGTCGAAAAAATTAACAACACCCGCTATATTGACGATTCCTCGGAACCACGATTTCATGCTTCATTCATTGCTTCATTTCTCTCTCCCTCTCCCTCTCCCTCTACCTCTCCCTCTACCTCTCCTTCTCCCTCCGCCTCTCCCTCTCCTCTCTTCCAATCAATGACAGTACAGCACAGCGTGAATATTTCCAAATTCTTTCCATCTCTCTTAATAAATCTACTAATCTCTATTTCACTTCCTCACTTTCTAACTAAGATTAAATCATCTGAGCTATCGCTTAGCTTAGTCTAAAATCATTGAATAAATTTCAAAGGTACTACTTTTCCTTATTTTGTTTACAGGTGAATTCTTTCTAATCATTTGAATTTCCTGTTCATCTCATATCATATCGAACGAATATTAGCCGATAAAATTTATTTATTTACTTTTGGTTTGAAATTTCTAAATGAATCGCTATGTTTCGGCAATATTATCCATATTGTTATGAGTTTAATACGATGAACTGATTGTATCTAACAGTTAGCAATAAATCAGTTAAAATTTTAAATATATTCGCTGATAAGAAATATCCATTGGCTATCTACCAAATGCAGGTTATCATTACCAATCACTTTTATCAAACATTTTATTTGCACACTAATTTATTTACAACAGGAATGAATGAGTTGTATCAATTTTTAATTCTCAAATTTTGAAGTTTGCGGTCCGAGCAGTTAAATGCCAAAGTTGAGAGTATTTGGTAAGGCTGTGCAGGAATTGGTGTGCAAAATTGATGATGGTCATTTTCTTCTCCTCGTTTTATTTCTTTTTTCGCTCATTTCATTTGTTCGTTTGCTAAAGCTGATAACCTTTTGCTAACTTTTGAGTCCTTGACCTTTAGCATGTTGACCTGTTGACCTCTGACTTTTTTTGACCTGCTGACTTTCAGCATCACTAAGACAGGAATTTCTGATTCTGATTGTTGAATCCGAAATTTTAGTTCAGAATCTCAGATGAGTCCAATGAATAATAAATACATTTCATCGTGATGAAAATAGGAAAGAATGATTGTGCTCGATAAGGATATCAGTATGCATTAATTACGGAACAGATGAAGATTTCATTTCCTGAATTGTACAGGATATCTTCATTTCCTGAATGTATTTTTTTGGAAATTCCTTCACAGATATCATCATCTTTTTTTTCGCTAATAGCTGAGCCTAATTATATTGGGAATTTTTAAATTAGCATTTAGGTTGGAAATTTACATTGATTTAGCACTTAAATTGGAAATTTTCATTGATTTGTTCAGATTCAACACAAAACTGATGGGTTTTTTAGGTTTTTTTCTTTTACTTTGATTCAGATCAACCCGATCAATATTTACCAAATCAACGAAATCAGTGCTGAAAATAAGCTTAGCTTAATTTAATCGATATTCTCAAATTGATTAAATCAAATTTCTGAGGAAAAAAAAAACAATTAAATTAAAATATGCTGAAGTCTCCGTAATCTTCGCTTACATGCAATATAATGATTTAAATGAAATTTGTGAATTTTTGCATGATTGTCTCTGCAATTTATTCGTTTAAAGTTTAAATCACTTTGCATATTTTATTATTTCATTTATAATGGAACAAAATCAACAAGAAGAAAAATATAATTTATATCACAAACTTGAGATCTCAAAATTGTCGAAAAAAAACGAATATAAATTTCGGCATTTTGAGAGATTTTTGTATTTTTCCGTAAACTCCTTAGTTAATAATATTGCACAATGAAGATTCTTTCAAAAGAAAAATCCTCATTTCACAGTTTTATAACAGAAACAAAAAGCATAAACTTAAGAAATAATATGCAAATTGAGCAACGCATTGCAATTTCCATTGCATACTTTGCCTGCAACTTTCTCCTAAAAAAAATTGAATTTCTCTTTTGAAGTTTTATTAAAATTTGTAAAACTGTATAAAAAATTAGAAATTAACTCTAACTGCTGATGCTCGTCACTTTCTCTGAAAGCAAAATTCTTTTAATAAAAGATTAACTCCACGTAGATCATATTGTGATAATCTTAAAAAATGATTGATTATGAGATTTTGTTTAATAATAGAATGTACGAAGAAGATGAAGTTACTTACCAGTCGCTGAAGTTTGCTCTCTTATCATATCTGAAATTGATAATAATTATCAAAAATTTAATGTCATGATAATCATTAAATCTACATACATTTAATCAGATTTGTTTAATCAGATTTTAATCATATATTTAATCAGATATATTTAATCAGATTTTGGTCCGCAAACTGAAAGTTAAATGTTAAGCTTTTTTGATTCCGGAAAATTCGGCTGTTCAAAAAAATTGCCAAAATTATTTTATCAAAGAAAAGTAAATTTGAAATTCTGTAAGTGTAAAATCATTCGGAAAGGTGTCAATTTTCAGTCTTTATTTAGCCAAATCATTCTCACAAACTTGGCCTATTCATTGTTTTTTAGTCATTCAAAAAAACTAACAAATTAAATTTCAATGTTCGTTTTATTTGTGGATCATATATCATATCAGTTATTATTAGGACTAGTTTGCTTACAATTTGTACTTCCTACCCTGTGAGATAATTTTCCTCATATGTAAACCCTCATCCTTTTCTCTTCGTTTGTTTGAAATGGAATTTTTAACGTTTAGTACTCTTTTTGTATAAAAGATAAGTTGAAGAAGTATAAAAATTGGGAAATATGTACTCTTGAACCAATGAAAATGGATGAAATTTAATTATAAAAGAAATTTGCTTAGGATAAAATTGACTTTTATGATAGTTTTATTGTAATAGCAAATTTTTTGCAAAACGGATAAACAGAAATTTTGAAAGTTTCGGGATATTTTTAAAAGTTATTTTATGCTAACATCACTAGAATATGTAGACTTTTTGGTTAATTCAAGTTTAAATAATAATTTATACAATATCAAAGTGTTTCACTGTTAAAACTCCAAAATTGAAGCAGGATACTTTTGTAATTCATTAAGTAAGTGAGTTTATTAGATGAAATAATTTTGAAGCTGAAAATATAAATCTCTTTTGAAATATACGATCGCATCACGAATATTCATTTACGTCAGCAACAGAAGATATTCTGCGCTAAATGAATAAGTATTCTGCTTCGAAATTTAAAGAATTTAATAATGAAAAGGAATAGCAAATGAATGATGTAATCAGAAATAATCAAGTCATGGAAAAAAAATTTTTTCTTGTGAACTTATATGCTAATCTTATCTGTCAATAATTAGTAATAAGTATAACAATTCAGTGACTAATAACATGCAGCATGCTATTAGGAACAAAAATAATGCACAATGATTATCACTGTTGCTATCACTATCATTATCAACATGCACACCTTTTCGATGTAGATCTTGTCCGTAAGCATGATTGCTATCTGTAGAAGCTGATAGATGAGGGGAATGAGCTGAAAGTAATCTTTCTGAGTTCGATTGAATTTGAAATGTTTCGGATGATTTTCTCGTTGAATCAGATGAATTTTGTAATTTGCAAGAAGATATAATGGAACGATTATCATTGTAACCATCATTATCAACATTGCTTTCACTGCTATTATCATTGTCGTTATCATCATCATCATCACCATCATCGTCACCACTGTCATCATCCAGATATCCAGAACCTAGAAACAATGCGGATATTGATGTCGCAATAGGGCATCAATCAGGAGATATAAAAAGAGATGTTGCAATACAAGGAAGAGAGAGAGAGAGAGAGAGAAATCACGCCGTGCAGGTGAAAATTGAATTTTAAAACTTAAATCGTTTAATTATATTTATAACAAAACTGTCCTATCATTATTTTATCATCTTTTTAATATCATGAAGATCCAATCATACATGCAGCATAATATTTTGAACTTATTTCAGTGTTCTTTATTATAAATTTAAAATAAATTATTTTCATATCTTGCTTGAAATTATTGAAACGAGAATGACTGATGGTTTCATGCAAAATGTTTGCAAAACTTAAAGTGAAAAGTAAACAAACAAAAAGATGAATTGTAAATGTGATCAAAATTGCAAAAAATTTGAACGATTTCAAACTGGCAACTTTTCATAAGTTACCATCTCATTAGATTCTATCTCATTAAATTCTACTTCATTAAGCTCCACATTTCCTTCTTCTGTTTTAAATTTCATATTTAGTGCTATAAATGGAAAAATTTCTCAAAACTTTCCAAGAATATCACAATTATTCCATGCTGTTCACTACACTGAATGACATCGATTTTGCTGCTATCATTGGAGAAGTGAAATTCGAAATGTTTTTTGGCCTTTTTAAAATTGCAAGAAAAAACACAAACCTTCAGTGAACGTTGTTGCAAATTTATTGTACACCAAGTTTCCTTCTGAAAAAAAAAAAACTCAAAAAAAAGTTGTAATAGATTGAAACAAATTCTCCAATATAACTGAAAATCTGAATTTGAATGTTCAAATTCGAATTCTATTTGATTTTCTTAGATGATAAAGGAAAACAGAGCACAAGTGTAATTCATTTTTCCTGTTTATTTGATTTCCATATTGAGGTTGACTTTGGAAATTTGTTCCAAAAAAGTGATAAGTTTAATTTCAAAGAATTAATTTTTTTTTTAAATTCATAAAATTTTACCTTTTAAAATGATATCAGCAAAGTGTTCACCGTTGTCATTCATCGCAATACATCGATAAGTGCCAAATTCATTTCTGCTAACATTTTTAATTGTTAATATATGCATGCTGCGATATTTTTCTGCTACTTGATGTGACTAAAAAAATTGCCTTCAAAATTTGAATAATTATAGAATATCCCAAACGACTTCAACTCTTTGACCTCTTTGCCTCCACTATTTATTGTCATGTATGGAATGGATTTGTCCGCAAGTTTTAAAGGAATTAATCATTTCTCAAAATACAACTTCTATACTTCATAGAAGAATTTAAAATACAAAAGAATCTAAATTTACTTTTTAACTTACAATTGAAAATGTTGAAGAATCAAATATTTCTTGTCCATCTTTTCCCCATCTAACTGAAGGCCTTGGCCAGGCTTCTGCATTGCAAACCAAGCTAGCCTGACCACCAAGTGCTACCTGAACAATTTCAGCCTGTGGTATCACCATCGGTTTAACTGAAACATTTTAAAGCAAAAGTTTTTGGAGGGAATTTTGTCAATGTTATGCTAATAGAAAAAATCAAAAGTGCCTCCATTATTTTTGCCATTATACTTTTACCCATTTCATTCATTTTTATTTCAAACAAATAATCAGTCATAAACATATTATTCTTAAAACGCTCAACACATTTCAAAGTTAAATTTACAAATTCGGAAGATAAAATAAAATATTTCCGTTTATTCGATTTCATACGTTTTGAAACAGATTTTAATGCCATATTACAAACGAATGATATTTATGATTATTTGAATGATAACTTACAGGTAACATGTAATTTTACACTCCATGACTCATCCGGTGGTACACCATTACTTGCGACGCAAATATATTCGCTCATATGTTTGCGATTTACTTTAATGATTGTCATGTCGGAACCATTGAATACGCTTGCTGAAATTAGCAAACGTTTGAACGTTGAAATTATGATAATAACATATAACTTTCTCAATATTCCATATAACTGCGCCAATTTTTTTTTTTTTAGAATATAAGAATTAGATTATTTGCAATTAGGTAGACAAAATCTTCATTAGCTCCCAGTAATAATAATAACAATTAATTAATTAATTAATAGTAATAAATAATAATAATAATTTTTATGAACCTCCATAGCCTGTTGCGCCGTTAAATCGAATAATTTGTCGATCTTGCCTTCGCCAAACGATAGTTGGTGGTGGATTGCCAAAAGCTTGACATGACAAAGTAACGTTCTGTCCCTCACGCACCTCTACAGTTGCTGCTGTTGTTCGAGCCACATATGGTGGCACTAAACATTTTTTTTTT